CCGCCCCGAGCGCCGGCTCTTCATCCGCCAACCCCGCTTCCGCCGCCGCACCCATCCTCTCGCGCAAGTCCATCAGCGATATCTTTTCCAATTTCTACGACATCCTCCAACTCAGCAGAGAACTCTTGAGTCAGCTCGAAGAGCGCTTCCAGTTGGCCAGCGGCCCTTCCGACTCCGCTGCCACCATCACCGGCGGCGCTCAGCCTGCCACATCCATGACCTGGAACGCCGCAACCGACTGCGTTGGCGACATCCTCGTCACGCTGGCTCCCTTCCTCAAGATGTACTCGCTCTTCGTCAAGAACTTTAGCAGCGCGCTCCAGCGTATCGAGCACGAACAGAGGTCCAATGACGCCTTTGCTCGCTTCCTCAAAGACACCGACAACAGGCGCGCCTCCAAGGAAAAGGTCACCACCACCACCGGCAGCGTGCGCCACGCCTTCGGCTACGGACTGGGCTTCCAGGCGCATCTGCTCACCATCGTACAGAGGATCCCGCGCTATAAGCTGCTCGTCGACGACCTTGTCAAGTCGACGCCCGAGTCGCATCCGGACTGCGCCGACATCCGGCGTGCCAGCCGCATGATTGAGCAGGTCGCCTCGTACATCAACGAAAACGTGCGTCAACACGAGATGGTGCTCACCATGCTCGGTCTCCAAAAGAGCCTGCAGGGCCTTACGGAGCCCCTCGTCGCTCCAGGCAGGTCGCTCATCAAGCGCGGCACTTTGATGAAGACCTGCCGCCGCAACATCCAGCCACGCGAGTTCTTCCTCTTCACCGACTGCCTCATCTATGCCAGCCCCATCTCGGGCAGCATCGAGTCGGCTTCGGCCGCATGGACCATGCTTGCGCAACGCGGGGGACTGTATGCCTCTGCCGCCGAGCATCAGCAGTCGCCGACGATGGGCTCGGTCTCGAGCTCGGCGGCGTCCCCCATCGAATCCGTCCTCTCATCGCCAAGTGTCGCCGGTGCGCCCAGTGCGCGCGCGCGCCTGGGCTCGATGCCCGAGCCCTATACCCCCTTGGCGGGCGCCATCTTTTCGTTGGCAGGTCACCAGCTGCAGTTCCGAGCCAAGTTTGGGCTGCGCGACTGCACCGTTGTGAGCGTCGAGGACAGCGCCAACGAAGGCCTGCGCCATCGCTTCGAGATCCGCACGCCGGACAAGTCGTTTGCCGTCTACGCAGAGAGCCAGGCCAGCAAGGAGGCTTGGGTCAACTGCATCCGAGAAGCACGTGCCGACCACATGTCGGCGCGCCGCACGCTCAAAGCCGAGGAAGACAGCATTGAGGCCAAGCGCGAGAGGAGGCGGTCGCTGTACAAGAGCGAAGCAGCAAAGGGCGCCAACCGCCGCCTGAGCACGCAGAGCCTCGGCGCGTATCTGGCCAGCACAAATCTCATCGGACAGGACAAGATCACACCCGCGGCGGCGGATGAGCCGGCCGAGACCGCTGCGCCGCGGTCGCTGTCGCGCGAGCGGGAGCCAGCGCCGAGACGGATGCGCGTCGACTCGCTGCCCAACCTGCTCATGCGACCGCCGTCGTTTCCATCGTTCCCCGCATCGGGCGCCAACCTGTCGTTGGCCAACTTGCTGGCCTCCAACACCTCGGCGGCGGCAGCAGCGCCGCTGCGCGTGCTCGAAGACTACAATGCGCCTGTGTGGGTGCCGGACAATCGCGCGGACAAGTGCTGCAACTGCCAGGAGGCGTTTGGCATGTGGCGTCGCAAGCACCATTGCCGGCTGTGCGGGCAGGTTGTGTGCTGGACATGTTCGCAGCGATCGTTCTTGATCCCGAGCTACCACGACGGCGAGCCGGACCGCCCGGCGCGAGCGTGCGACCGATGCTACGACAGCGTCTTCCCGCCCGAAGCGGCTGAAGAGGCGGATGCGGCCGCAGACTCGTACACCGTGCCGGAAAGCGCCGAGATGTCGTCGGTGCCGAGCACAAGCACGGACGACAGCGTCGCAAATGCTCTCGGTGCGTACCGGCTCACCTCGGACGTCGACACGGATGCAGAGGGGAGCTATTCGGACTCGCCGGTCACGCCACCCGTGGGACGCGACTCTCCGGCTGCGCATACGGACGTCGAGCTGCCTTCGGCTGCAATGGATGCGCCTGGCAAGTCGGCTTTGGCCAAGAAGGGCGGTGCTACGTTGCGGCCCAAGTCGCTGCGATTTGAGGCGCTGCCTCCGGCGGAAATGTCGTTGGATGTGCGAGACGCGCCTGGAGGTGTGTCGCCCAGCACGCCATCGAGTCCGACCGAGACGACCCCGTCCGTCTCGAACGCCGCGACGCCGGTGGAGGCGCCTGTCAGACGAGGCAGTGCCAGCGCACACACGTCGCCGATGCGGAGTGGCCAGATGCCAGCGCTGCCGGCGCGTTCCAAGTCGCTGGCGGGTGCGCTGTCGTCGGCGTCTCCGCGCATGCTGTCGTCCGAGGCGCGACTCAACCGGGCGTCGGCGCTGGAAGCGCATCACCTGTTTACGAGCCACCGCACGCCGCAGATCCAAGCGGCGACGTCGGGCTCGGGAACCTTCCGACTGGTGACGCCGCGGCTGACGACACCCGAAGCGGAAGTGCCGCCGGGTATGGGCAAGAGGAGCGGCTACGGCCCCAGCAGCATCATGGATGCGGGATACTTTGGCAGCGCGGCAGGTGCGATTCAGGAGGATGCCGAGGACCAGGCTGCGGAAGAGGGAGTGGAGAGCACCGGCGCGAGCCCGGTCAAGTCGGAACCCTTCCGGCCGTGGATGATGCATGCAATGTCGCCCGCGGGCGGCGCGCATCTGCGGCCCGCCAAGAAGAGACCGCTCAGTGCAGCTGCGAGGCTGAGCAGAGTGTATGGCCCGCTTCTGGCATCCAACGCCGGCGCAGCTGCGGCAGGAACGCAGAGTGCAGCCTCGGCCTCGACCGATTCGCTCAGTCTGGCTGGCGGCGAGCCGAACAAGGTCTAGCTTCTTTTTTATCGCAATCATACCCTTTTCTCATTTGCGCAGACGATCGTTTTCAGTGCGATGTAGGATGCAACAGGCTTGAGACACTCGATACGGATCACTTTGATGGCATGCATGAGAGAGAGGAGCGATTCAAGCCGGGGCTGGGCTGGTTGGGACGAAGGGGCGAGAGAGCGTCGATCTTGGAGCGGACCGTCGTCAGCCACTCCGAAGTCGCCAAAGATGGTTGTTCGAAGACAGGAGAAAATCGACAAGTTTTCGGCTGGAGAAGGCGGCACTGTCGGTCATAGCTGTAGGACAAAGGCTTTCTGGCTCAGAAGCAGTCGATTGTACAGTGTCTTTGATCTGTACGTATGAAGAGCCACTCAATCACACTATGAACAGCTGCTCTTTGGTGTTACTGCATGGCCGGGGAGATGAGCTTACCACGCTGAACGATGAGCTTCGTACACACTAACACATCTTCGAATGATTAACGTGTGCTGTAGGATGTCGAGCATCGCGGTGGCATCGTTAGCAGACGGCATTGAAAGTACACGCAGCGTCGAAGACGGCATCGATAGCACATGGCCCGAGGAATCGTTTCTGCACCAGCACACAGGTAGCTACCGCGAGACACATACGATCAGAAGCGAATAATAATCAAGGCTTTTCGTATTAAACAGGCTGATGGTATCGACGTAAGATATGAATGGTATCTGGTGATGGAGCTACAAGTCAGGTCGCAGCAATGCTACATTAGTGGGCGCCGACGGCCGGGGCGGTGTAGGCACCAGTGGTAGCGGGAGCGGCGTAGGCGTTGTTGGCGGGGGCAGCGTATCCAGTGTTGGCGGCAGGGGTGGAGCCGTAGGCCGAAGCGGGGGCGATGGGCTGGGAGGTGTTGGTGGCAGGCACCGTGTTGGCCGCGGGGTTAGCCGTCACTGACGTAGCGGTAGTCTGGGCAGCAGGGGTGCTGGTCACAGGAGCGCTACCGTTGGCAGCAAGTGCCTCCTTGTGGCGGTGACGCTCGGTCTCGCCAGTAGCCTTGTTGTGCTGGGCGGAAGCAAGGTGCTGCTCGGTGTTCTGCAGCTTGCCGCGGTGCTCGTTGAGCGCCTTGTTGGCGTTCTCGACCTTCATCTTCTTCTCCTCCAGGGTGCGAACAGACTCGTTGTACTTGGCCTGCTGCTTCTCTAGCTTGGCTTGCAGCTTGTGCTCCTTCTTGATCGCCTTCTGGTGCTCCTTCTCGGCCTTAGCGTGCGCCTTGAGAAGCTTGGCATCCTTCTTCTTGTCCTTCTCGAAAGACTTCTGGGCAGACTTGAGCTGCTTGTCGTCAGCCTTGGCCTCCTTGGCCAGAACCTTTTCCTCGCGCTTGATCTGCTTGGCGTCCATGCTGATTGCTTGTGGTGGTGTGTGTATGTAGAATTTATGGATGGTAGCTTGTGGTAAGTGGTGAACTCAATGGATGGTGGCGGCAGAAATGGACGATTTATATAGCTTCGGTGGAGGTGCTGGGTGGAGAGGTCTTGGCAATGACGGATGGGACCGCATACGGGAGCGTAGCTAGGCGAGACCAAGGGTGCTGGGCCGCCGACGGCTGTCGGTATGGAAGCGGGCGCGATGACGTCATGACGTCATTGTTAGGGCTGCAGCAACGCGCCGGCGCGAGTCTTCTTTTTTTAGAGCTTGGTGCGCCCTGCCTCGAATTTAGAGCGCGACGGCCACAAACCAGGCAATGCAGCGTCACAGTGATGCGACCCGCTCGTCACGCTGAGCTGAGTTGCAACGCCCTCTGCAGTCCGGTCGCCGTCCATGACGCGCACGCCTTGGGCTCTTTACACCAGCTGCGGCGTAAACATGCTGACATGGCACGGCATGACGCGAAGGCACGGCAAGCCACTGTAGGTTGACGTTTGATTTTTTGGCTGTGTCGTGGCTCGGTCGCGTGGTGCCAAAAACGGCATCAATGGCATGGCGCCATGGCGCCTCCATGATACTTCGTCTCCTTCGCCTTCGAAGCTTGACCTCCCTGACGGTACGTTCTCGGCAGATGTCCAAAGTCCGCCCATGTGCGGATTAGAGTGACGTTGCCAGGCTGTGCGGCTGCCAAAAACAGCAGCGTAAAAGCTGGTCACAGCCACCGCCACTCGGGGTTCGAGCGAAAGAAGCATCAAACGACGCCACATCGACGAAGGAGCATGGCAAGGTCGACCCGATGACCGCCGGCAAGCTCCGTCGTGGTGTCTCGCCAGTACTTCGTGGTCGAATGGCGGATTCTGCCGAGATGGCCGCAAATTCTGCCGGAGTGTATTGAGATTGATGCCAGTAATTTATGACGCAGATCGCTGCCCGATGTGTGTCTTGCTGATCGGGAGCTTTCTGATCCGCATGCCCCAGCGACCTTAAGACTCGGTGAGGTACGAAAAGTCGAGCCCAGTATGTTAGGGTTGAAGGTCACACATTTTGCAGGCGCTGGGTGTTGGTTGCAGCGCGGACGGCGCGTCGCGCGCTTTTTGGCGCAGAGCGTCCGTCCGCACTTTACACGACCCGCAGCGCGACTCTGGACTTCCAAAAAGCAGAAGGGCGTCCAATATCCTCCTGCTGTCTCACTCGCCTACAACTTGACCATCACCTGTTTCCTCCTCCACCGCACACATCTACACCAACAGCTCACACTCATATCTGTGCATACTACACGGCCCACACTCGGACCTACATCCATCCACTGCTCCATCGCGCGCGCATACGAGCCACCCAAAACCACACGAGATCTCGAGCCAGAACAAAGGGAGGACGAGACGAAGCCATGTCGATCGTCCATCTGCAGAGCGTCGAGATCCTCAATGCCGAGGCACGCTTCGAGGACGCATACATTTTCAAGATCACCTTCGAGTGCATCTCGCCGCTGCAAGACGACATCGAGTGGCGCCTCGTCTATGTCGGCTCGGCAGGCGACGAAAAGTACGATCAGGAACTCGACAATTGCATGGTTGGCCCAGTCCCAGTCGGTAAGTCCAACTCTTCATCCTACAATCCATCGAGATGACCGTGGAACTAACGTCGCTCCTCTTTTCGCTGGAATGTAGGGGTGAATTCGTTCGAGTTTGAAGCAGCTGCACCTTCACCGTCCAAGATTCCGCCCGAGGACCTGTTGGGTGTCACGGTGATTCTGCTCACAGCGTCGTATCGCGATCAGGAGTTCATCCGCGTCGGATACTACGTCAACAATGCCTACGAGTCCGAAGAGCTGCGCGAAAACCCACCGGAAGTAGTCGACCTCACCAAAGTCCGACGCTCCGTTCTTGTCGCCAAACCACGCGTAACGCGCTTCAACATCAAGTGGGACGACGCACCCACAGCACCATCCCAACCCGAACCAACGCCTGTACAGTAAACAAATCTCCGCATGTCACCGCTTTGCCAATCAGAAACGATATCCAACACAACACGCACCAACAAACGAGTCCTTCAGAATGGCGTACAAATACAGCGCTCGCGCCCGCAAGTGTGATTGCAGATACGAAAGACAGAGGTGGGTATCGGTATGACTACGTGGACAGGCCTGTCCCGGCAAGCACATCGGCCAGTGGCCACATTCGTTGCGGGCCGACGCGCGCGGCTGCAAGCGGGGTAGAAGCGAGTGCGAATCCAAAGCGCGCCGCTAGCGGGTCGGCGTGCGTGCTGCGCGTCGAGAGGAAGCCTTGATCGGCCAGGTAGTCGGTCAGCGCCGCTGCGCCGCTGAGCGAGTTAAAGTAGACGGCTTCCGCACGGCTCTGGAACGACGCCTCGAGCATGTATGCAAGGTGTCGATGGATCAACGCCGTATGCAGGCCCCACGACGTAGCCAGCGAGTGGAAGAGCTCGACAGCCTCGTCGGGCGTCTGGTCGTATCCCGAAAACAGCGCTGGGTTGGCGAGCAATCCACGTGCGCTCATCGCGCCGCTGCATCCCGTATGGCTGCGGTACTTGATCGCATCGTCCAGCGTCCACACATCGCCATTCGCCACACAGGGCACCAAACCTCCACTGCCGCCATCGGCGAACTGGGCGGCTGCTCCGCCGCGCGAGCCCCACGCGGTGCGGAATCCACACGCATTGGCCGACTCGACGGCAAACTTGATCGCGTCCAGATCCACCGGATGCCCCGCAGACGACTGCCAGCGCGTGCGCCCATGGATCTGCAGTACCGACGCTCCCGCATGCAGCGCATTGCGCACCAGCGCGTCGGTGAGGCTCAGATCCGGATCCACACGGATCTTGACGCTCACGCAAAAGTCTTCGCCCATGCGGGCCTTGACCGCGCGCACCATGTCGCGCACCGTCTCCGGCTGGCGCAGCAGATACGATCCCAGCTCCTCCTCGTAGGCCCAGGGTTGCGGACATCCGCAGTTCAGATCGACACCGTCAACGAAGAGCCCGATGAGCTCCGAGGCGTCGGCAAACGCGCCCGGCTCGCTCGAGGCGAATTGCGCCACAAGCGCGCCGCGTACTCGTACACTTTGCTTGCCTTGTCTCGCCCGCCGCGCCGCTTTTTCCCTCTCGGCTTCCCCGCTCGTCTCGTCTTGTGCGTTCGAAGTGGTGTCGGTATTCTGAGAGCTAGCGACAGCAAGTCGACGCTGTGAAGACTCGGACCCTTCGGCAATGCCGGGGACGAGCGAAAAGGTGCCGCGCTCGTATGCGTTGGTGGAGAACTCCGAGTTGCGCGCGGCCTCGGTGCGACTGAACTCGCGCGCGAGGATCATGGGCGTGGTGGTAATGTGCGTCTCGTAGCGCGACACGAGCGCGCGAAAGGCGAGCTTCGAGTAGCGCACCATGGGCGCACACACGTTGAGGCCGTGGAAGGCATCGAGCAGCAGGTGCGGCGGAAGCTGCAGCGCTTCCGCATCGTAGCTCGGGTAGTCCTCGTCCGAAGCGGCGGCATGGATGCTCCCGTTGATTCCGGGCATACTTGCTTTGGCTGCGGGACCGTTATATCCCGGCCGCAGTTCTTTGGATCCGTTGACGATTGTAGAGAGCGGTAGCTTCGTATCGAGTGAGAAGAAGTGGCGGCGTGCAAAAAATCTGGAGTCGACCACGTCCGAGTGCCGAACCCGGGAAACCGCCGCTCTAACATTTCGAAGTTCGGCGAACAGTGCGGCGTAACACGAAATAACTTTGACCCGCGGACATCATGGAGCATCGAAGCAAGACATCGTATCTCCGAGGTTGCTGGGCGCGCGCTTGTTGCGGCAAGGTCCCGCCCAAGCTGCTGTCTTGCCGCCACTGCCGTCTTGCTCGTCCCCGGGGTCCCGCTCAGATTCGATGGCTGCCGTCAAGGCTGCGAGGATCGGTTCCCACCACACCCATTTCCACCGTGCGCGCGCCGATGAGCATAGAGTGCAGTCTAGACTGCAACGTTGCTCGGTCGATCTCTCGGTACGAGTGGGAAGCGTATCCCAAATCGATCCATCGTAGAGAGAACGGGAACATCGGGACGGCGACGCCATCGTTGTCGCTCTCGGGCAGGATCGCTGCCACGCTAAGGTGTGCGGGACCGCTCGCTTAGACGCCACGTGGGGAGGAGGTGTTCAGCAACCTCGACCCAACGGAAGGTCAACGTCGCCAGAGAGATTCATGCGCTGGATGCGAAATGCCAGAAGAGCTGGACCGACTCAGACTAGTTCGGGGCGAGGGTGGTGTGACCCTACCCACAGCGGGGTTTCAATGGTGGGTGGGCGAGCTGCCATGCTCCCGGGACTCGGTACCGCGGACAAGCCTGCGAAATGGCAGAAGGCATTGAAAGATTAGAGCTAGTACCCTGGCAAGCGCGTTCCGTCGCTGTCGACCAACATTGGATGCGATGCCAGAGTTGATGCGAGGTGCGGAGAGCGAGGGATTGACACTCAGCTCGATTCTAGACTTGCAGCCTCGCTTGGCCTCGGAGCAACGTCGACCATGACGATATCGCAGGGCTGTGCCAAGCGTTGCTGTCAATGCGTTGGATGTGCTGGAGCACGTTCCGTAATCTGAGACGAGCTGCACGACCAAAAGCCACGCGAGACCCTGTCTGGGCAGATTCTGGATCAATCCCAGCTCACGAGACGTCTCTCGCGAAAGGCTAGCAATCGTTCGTTGGAAGGCTCTGATGCGCGCGACTGCGCCACACGAGATTTGTGACTAGAGTGGTCACCTTCAAGCTCGCATGCATGTCGCATTTTGCCCGACTTGAGCGCAACAGGTGCCCACCGAGCGTTGCTGGGGGCCTGCGTTCCCACGAGCATGTCGACAGCTGCTATTGTTGCGAAGCTGCGGGCGGCCGAGGGAGAGTCTCGAGTCATTGTTGCTATCGGCCAAATTCGAGCTCAGCCCTGAACCCCGCTGGCAGCCTTACTATTGACAGTCGCATGATCCCTGTCTTGGGGGTACGCTCAGCCACGTCTGTCGAGGCAAAGTCGGAAGCAGTCCGACAAATGCCTTTCGCGCCTCGGAAAGGGGGGAGGGGAAAAAAGGGAAAAAAGAGGGTGGCCGGGGGGGAAAGGGGAAACGCGCCTGTGTTGCGGCGGAGCAATCGGAAAGAGGAGCGATGCGGTCTAGACCCGAGTCGATCATCATTCCTGCGCATCTCGAGGTCGTCAACGTAGCCCTTTTTGTGGTCGTGCGCGATGCATGCGATGGCGCTGCTTTCCAGCCTGCAAAGATCGTTCGGCGCATGACCATGACCTTCGAGTTGGCTCTTGCATCATGCCTCGAGGGTCCAAACTGAGCCAAACATGCGCGCTTTCAGAGAGCTGGGAAGCCCCCAGTGTGCAAGATGCATGCATGGTGGTCCTGCTTGGGTGCGCAGAGGCTCGGAAAACGGAATGAGCCAGCGCTCGGAGTCTCATGTTCCCGCTGGCCCACATTTTGGAAGCTCCGCACTTTGCCTAGCTGGGACTCCCGGACTCCCACTCGGAGTCCGGACGCTTTTACGAGGAGGTGTTCGAGGCTTTGGTGTCCAATCGTAGGCTGTCGATTTCCACTCGCTCTCGACGGCGCTGAACCAGCATGCCCGAGGAGCTGAACGCGCGTCCTGCGCTGGGACTGGGCGGGGTCCAGAAGCGCATAGGTGGAGCTGCAGCGCTGCCAGATCATGCGTGCCTGAGCCAGTGTCCGCTCTCGGATCGGAAGGCAACTCGACCCTTGGAAAACGCACCTGGCCTTTGCGTGACGGAATGGACAAGCCAGGCGCAACGCTCGCTTCAGATAATCGACATCTGGCAGACCGTCTCGATCGCTGCCCGGGTCGGCGGCGCTGGAGGCCAGAAAGGCAACGTGTCAAATGCTGTTGCATCCTCCAGCATTCGCGAGGCCGCGGCTGAGCAACGCTAGGATACCGTGGATGCTGACAATGATGCAAGCGCGCCACGCAGTCAATAAGGGATGACCTTCTTTTCATGCGGGGCACAATCGTGTCCAATTGACTAGCATCTGAATCGGGGTGCCAACTTGGCAAAGCTGACATGAGGAGACGAGTGGAGAAGTCATGCCCAGGTTTCACGATCCTTCGATCTTGAACGAGGTCGTGCTCCGAGCAATGACCGAAAAGCGAAGCAGGGACGAACGCGAGCTCCGCTTTTTCACACCAGCAGAGGAACTTGAGAGGCCGCGGAATGCGATGCTGCACGTCTGAGGGCCGATGAATGGTGAGATGGCGCTTTCAGCATCGCTGTGGATGCCAATCTGGGGGGCGAGCTATCTGCACCTCTGTCTCACGCATGCCATCATCAGCTGTCGTGCGCACGCGGTTCGGCTACGCTGCAACGCAACAGCTCGCCTGCGGCTTTGACAAGTCGGCTTGGCTCGCTTGCATACTGTCCAAATTTGTTCCTTTTTTGGGTCGAGAAGAGATCCTAATCAGTGCGCATCGATACCGATTTCAGCGTAGAGTCACGGTACTGTCGGATCCAATCCGAATTGATGACCGTTCAAGGGACCACTCTCTGACTGGGAGCTCCAACGCGAGGTTCTCGTGTGGGAACAAAAGGGTGTCGCCTGGCCTCGTGCGACACGCTGCATCGAGCCTGCTCTGACAAAGCGGGGCTGCCAAGAACCGGGACCGGAACGCTTCGGGGGACTCATTTTGCGCAGCTGGCCCGACTCGGATCTTCTGATGTCGGCACGCAGCGACGGTCCAGCACGATTCGCCGAAACGTTGGCCGACATCTCGACCAGCGCCGTGGCGATCGACGATAAATCCGTCTCCGCTGCAAGCGCCTCCCCCCTTGACTGCACTCAGCCAGCAGGGTCAGAGTAGGGCTCATGGTGGAAAGAGACCCTGGCAGGTTTCGGATAGCGCCCTGTGTGCAGTGGAGAGCAAGCCTCATTTCTGCTGCACGACAGGCTCGGCTAGCCATGCAGCGACGGATTGGGATCGGATCAGATCGAGCCCCCTTCCATCACGCAAGCAGAATCACGTACGCGCCTGCTACAGTAGCGTCGCTTGCTAAAGATCGCAGCGGGTGAGCGACCCTGTTGCAGCCGCCAGCGCCCCCAAGACTGCAGCGCTGCAGGGCTGCCATGCTTCGAGGCTGCAGAGGGTCTCGGTCGGGTATGCCAAGAGGGGCTGCACCTGCAGGCCGCCGTGGCCGCACTGGCCGCCCTGTCACATTCTTAATTTTTTCATGCTGTACCCTCGGATCGGTGCTCCAGGCACGGGGGCAGTGAAGCAAAATTGAAATTCGCGTCAATTTGCTCGCTTGACCCCCTGCCCTTTGCTTTGGGCTCAGCTGGCTGCCAAGCTCGCCCAGTCCCAACTCCGCTCATGCTGAAGCGAGAGTGCGGGTCTGGACTCGTCTCGCGTCGGCGGCCTCCACGTCCACATGTGCATTTTCAGTGCAAGGCTTTCCGACCATTGCGCAACAGCCGCTGGACATGGCAACCGCACCTCGCTCCTCACCAGCTCCAACAAGGCGAGCATCCGCACCGCACCGCATCAACAGCGAGCTCCTCATCCTTCCGACTGGTCTTTTGACGTGCATCTTGCCCTGCTCCTGAATGTCGTGTGCCTCAGATCAGCCCACCTGCGCGAGCCTGGCGGGGTTCCATGCCACAGCCATTCCGCACACGGCTCGGAATTGCGCAAGTGGAGCCAGCCGTACACTCGTTTCCTCCAGCGACATTGGCATCGGCTCGCTTTCCCACGTTGTCTTGCAGAACGCATCGCAGCGCACAAACATGCCTTGCAATTTTCGCACACGGGGCATCGACGCCATCCACTGTTGCCGGCTCCCCGAATCCGTCGACGTTTCTTTCCCATCAACGGCTGCCCGGCGGCCTTGTCAGACGATTAGTTCGGAGGGCACAGTGCACACGGGCCGCGCTTGCCAGCGCTCAGCACGCTCAGGCGCCGGGGAGGAAAAAAAAAACAACCTTTGCAAAGAGGCTCGGCTCGCGAGCCAAAACGGATCGGAGCGGAAATGCACGCTTTCATGCCGCAGGCGAGGCTGTCGTGCCTTGAGACTCACAAATCCCCACTGCCGCTCACCACCTGTGGGGCGCGGCTGCGCTCGAGACATGCTTGACACTCCGCCATGCTCCACATGTCGAGCGCCCTGGCGAGATTCTTTCGTACTCAGCCATGCCCAGGATCCCACCCTGGGTCGTCCTCCTCGCTCAGCCCCTCACGTCTTTGGCCCCGTCGCTGTGCGCCTGCGACAAGCGCCCTTGCCGAGCCTCCCCGCTTCGCCCCCTCAGTCTTGGGTCTCCTGAACGATCCTCGAGGCCTATCTCTCTCTTCCATGTCTGCCTGCTCTCGTGTTGTCCCCTGGTTATTCTCGCCTCAGCATAGAGATGCATTTGGCTGTGCGGCTGTCCGTCTGTTGTTGCTGAACCGGCGCACCCTGATTCGGCTGCACCTTTATTCTCCGTCGCTGTGCCCCTCGCCTCGCAATCAGCTCATCCCTAGCAAGCTGGTTCGCAACTACTTAAAGGGCGGCTTCCCGAACCCTCCGGCTTCCGTTTCGAACACAACAGCCTCCCTTCGATCCTTCATCCCCGCTTCCCTCCACTTCAACCTTGCTGATCACGAGCCTACCTCGCTCTTCTCGCACGTCTTTCGATCCGGGTGGACACCTGAGCCATCCGACTCTGCTCTCATTACCAATCGACTCATCGTACGCTGCTTCAGCAAATTGCCGCGCTTTTCCGAGCAACCTTCTCGACACATCATGTCGTCGCTTCCAACTCACAATGGATGGCTGGGCGACACGTTCAGCTACGCCTACGACCACACCCAGTTCGCCCCACGCGATGTGTATGGCGCTTCCACCTCGCATTCGCAGCCGCCTCCGCAATCGCGCAGCGTCTCGCGCCCGCGCGTCAACATGGCCTGCAAACACTGCCGCCAGAGGTGTGTAATTTTACCGGCGCGTCGCCACGGATGTATGCATTTTATACTGACGCAGATTAACATTTTTGGCGGGAACAGAAAGGTGCGATGCGATGGTCAAAAGCCCAAGTGCAGCCTGTGCACACGTCTGAAGCGACCGTGCGACTACGTCAAGGTGACCGAGGAAGAAAACGCGGTGCTGCGCGACAAGAAGCGCAGGTCCAAGCAGCGCAAGACGGCCGAGCAGGAGGCGGCGCGCGCCAACCTCAACAATCACGACGCGTTCCCCGCCTACCACCCGTACCGTGGCGTTCCGGCGGCCGCGCACGCCAGCAGCAGCTTTGACGCCGAGGTGCCGCGTTCCAACGAGCAGCGCATCGGCCTGCACGCTCCTCCCCTGCCTGCCGTCAGCACGGCAGGCTTTGCCACCACGCAGCCGTTTGCCTACGACGGACGATACCCCTCGACGAGCACCGCGGCCAACGCGCTGTTTGATGTCGGCGCGGGCCTGACGGGCTCGAGGCGCCAGTCGACGACCACGCTCATGGGTGCGCGCGCATACAGCCGCAAGCCGGACTATGCACGCACCGGCGAGCCGAGGCCTCGAGCGTACGAGCCCGTGGTGGGCGCGCTGGCTGAGACCTCGTCGTTCGCCGGCGGACTCGGGCTGAGCATGATGCACGGCCAGACAGGCGGACCTGCATTTGACACCCACGACTACATGGCCGTCGCCTCCGGCCCCGCCGGATATGGCTCATTTCGCGCCTTTGCCAACGAAGCCAATGCAGCCGAGCGACTGGCGCCCCGCTACGCCGCCCCGTTTGGCGCCCAGCCTGACGCGGTCACCAGCCCTTACACACCTCAGCCGGGCGAGCTTCGAGCCACGCCCGCCCCGTTTGAATCCGCCGTGAGCGTCTCGCCCACGGCGGGCAGTCCGACATTTGGCGTCGCCGTGCCGCCGCTCGAACGCGCCTCGTCGAGTGCAGGCTCGGGCGCTTCCGCCTCGCCTGCCAGTCACGGACCTGAAGCCACCCCACACCAGGAACTCGCCTCGCTCTGGGCCGATGCGCGTCCCCCCACCTACGGCCAGGACCACTTTCGCGGCGCCTACGACGCCAACCCCGTCTACGCCGACCACAACAACCAGGCCGACTGGGCCGCTCACAAGAAGTGGGACCCTACCCTCACACTCTATGTCCACCCGGCCCTTTGAGCTCCAGCGCAATGTCGTCGCCTAGGCCTCGCTTCTCAGCCTTGGTCCCCCCTGCATATCGTCGTTTAGCCACCTTGTATCGCATAGCATTGACTCTCTAGCAAAATACCCCTCGTTTCCGTTGCACTTTCGGATTCAGTGAGTGAGCCGGATGAAGTCCAAGATGCGGTTGACTGACGGAGTGGAAGACGCATTGTATGCGGTTGACTGATGAAAGTTTGAATGCTGCAGGCGCCGTGCAGGAGGGTCATTTTCACGCTGCACGCGGCGGAAGGGGCGAACAAAGTCAGAAGTCTTGTTTTCACGACGGCTTCAAGCCGGTCCAAGGAGGACGCTGAGGCGGATGCAAATCTGAAGAGCACCAACTATGCTGTGAAGCTTCAAGGGGTTCGCCTTCGTTGAGCTCACAAACGGTTCACTTCCGAGCACTTCTGTTGGACACGCCATTTAAGGGATTCGGAGGGGGAGGGGAAGACTGAGATCAACGATTCCCTTTGTGCTCGTTGCATCCGCCGCAATGAGCCAGTTGCACATTCTAAAGCACATACTCGAGCTCACTTTTCTACAACACGAGCATAACTTTGAAGAACACAAGCATAACTTTGGAGCGCGGCATGTCCATAGTTGTGAGGAAGGTAGCGGAGGAGTTTCAGGACTTGTGACCGGATCAGTCTTCGTGTTCTGGGAAGCGCAATCCATGCAGACCGGAGCCGTGAGCTCGTGTGCCCCCTATCCTTAAGCTAGACCTCCTATTTTGCACGACGTACATCTTCTCCGATTTGAACCGGACTGTGAAAGATTCTCTTTCAGGCCTGACTGGGATTTGCTGCATTGGGGTAGTCCGGTTTGATCCGGTGTCAGGTGGATGTTGTGTTCTGCAAGGACGAGCGGGGTGGCTGGTAGTCCAGGTTTCTAGTGATCGGATGCGATGTGGGTTTCGGTGTATGCAGTCGTCCCGAACTCTCCACGCCACTTGTGCTCGACTCCGTCCGTAGGTCTCATCCATGCAAAAAAAGCCCCCTTGACCTCAGCCTGGTCTCGGGTCTCAAAGAACCTTCCTCTGCGGGGGATCGTCCCAGTCGCCGTTCGCATGTCTTACCCCCCAACGCCGTAGAAGGCTGAAGCGAATGCCAATCGTGTGGTGACGTTAGTCGTTTTGCGGAGGAGTCGGTCGAGGCTTTTCTTGCTCGAGGCGATTCATGAGCCTCCCCTCTTCTCACAGCGCCATCTTTTGCACCTACCTCGAGCCCCACTGCAGATCCCGAGAGAACATCGCGTCCCCTCAAGGGCTCTACCGCGCGAATCTGAAGAGCCCCTCCCCCACACACGCGCTGAGTCGACACCGGTACCTTCCCAAGGCCGACGGCTACAAGCTGTACATTCATGACGATCACGAACGTCGATATGAGAAGTAGCCGATCGAAAGCGTCAATACAGCCCTTCCATCGCCCCTCGAGCACCACTACATCTGCACCGAGCGCCTCCCGCCTCATCAAGATACCCCACATCGCAAAGCCGCAAAGCCGCAAAGCCACAGAGCCCCACCTCGTTGCAACTTCACAACAGAACGTCCACACAGAGGCCCGTCTTCGCAAGGTGAGGAGCATGCGTGACGACTCACCACGTGTTTTACAGCAGATTTCTGTCACACTGTGAACTCACGTTGGATCGGCCTCACACTTCAATCAAGCTCGCTACGTCCAGGCCACAAGTGTGTGTAGGATTGCGCATGCACGCTAAAAGGTCAAGCGTAGACAAAGACGATGCAAGATTCGTCGGACATGCTCACAGTTGTGCGCGTGCGGACGAGTGCATCGCCCGCAAAGGCAGCGCGATGACAATTTTGGGTGACAAGATTTACTTGCCCTGGGGAGCGTCCTTGAACGAGAGGCAGTGCTCCTCGCCCATAGCGGAGACGATGGTGACCATGAGGTCCTTGCCGTCGTCGAAGGCGGCCTGGATCTGCTCACCGAGCTCACCGTCGGGGACACGGACGTCGTCCTTGGTGTCACCGTCGTTGGTCATGAGGTTGAGGTAGCCGTCGTCAATGTTGACGAGCTGGAACTCGTTACGGGAGACGTTGGGGACGTCCATGTTGTGGGTCGAGGGCGAGATGTCCTCGTACTTCTTCGAGGTGAAGATGTCGGTGGCGACAAGGTGGACCTTGGCGTGACCGTGCTTGCCGGTCTTCGAGGTGGACATGTCGATGATCTATGCGGTGGAAGAGGATCGAGGCGGGTGGTGTCAGATGTCTTGTTCGTTGATGCCATTAAGCTTGGTGTCGATGCGGCGCTTGGCCAGCACGAGCTCCGCTACGAGCGGCAACCTCGATGCAAGCTGCGCCACAGGAAGAGCGTGAGGCAAGTGATGTGTGCGACGCTGGCTGAGCGTTGTTCGGCAGCTGCTAAAACTCCGAATAACGAGCGCCATAGCCAAGCAGCGGGGTCGAAGGGTGCAATGAGACTTACCTTGCAGGGGCGGCCCTTGATGACGACGTGACCGTTCTTACGCAGAGCAGAGCACTGCATGGGGAAGGTCAGCGAGGAGCCGGCATCGGCGGACTCGAAGGTGGCGTTGTGCTGCTCGTCGTCGGAAGCGGACTGTGGGCGAGCGACGATGGAAAAAAATGACAAGGACAGGTCAGTAAAAGTTGCACGTGTGGCGGATTTGATAGTTCGGAACATTGCAGACAGCTTGCAGCACCTTCGAGCATCTCAGTTGCGTGAGCGAGGGCAGATATCGTGGCCAGACCTAGGCTGACGGCGGGCAGCGGCGGGTTGTCTATCGTGCCACGGCCGGGCAAAGCCACACGACATCTGTGCTCCAATGCGAAGCGCGCTTGGATACGCTGGTTGCAAGACGAAACACCGAAGCGGCATTTGCATGCTGATGCTGATGGCGATGGCGATGGCGATGGCGCCCGGGTGCGCAACGTACCATTTTGACTGATTAATCTACGGGTGGTAGGTGGTGGTGCAGAAGGAGAGATTGGTGATCGTGACCACAATGAGGCTGTCGAGCGCTCCCTCGTCTCTGCCCTGCCTCTGCCGCCCATTGCTGTGCCAGCTGTGCCTTCTGGGGCAGCAGCAGCAGCGGCAGCACCAGCCAGGTGAAAAAAAAAGAGGACGCAGCTGGATTTCGCTTTTTTCGGCAGTGGGGCGAGTGCGCCTGTCCGTTGTCGGTTCCTTCGAGAAGATCTGCTCCGCCCGCGTTCGCTCGCTCATTTCGCCCTTTGCCTAGCCAGCTGCCCTGTTTGCCCGTGGCCACACTGGCCATTCCATTCCGCCCAATTTCAATTCAACTCATTCCGCCTGCCTGCAGCCGCGAAAAGAAAAGAAAAGTTTTTCAAATGCAGCCAGGCGCCCATTTGTATTCCTCCTTCGAGCGTGCGTGGAATTCGCCACTTTGGGTCAGTTCAAGTGGCAATTCAATTCGACGCAAGCCGTGCAGCTGCTGCTGTGACCAATCGATCCGTTCTCGTTGTGGGAGGGGCGGGGCCACGCCCTCCTCACCAGCCGAGTTCATTTAGCCAAAGCCTCAGCACACTCGCTCTCACGTTCGGAGCTGTCCGACGCAGCCTCTGGTCACAATCACACTGCCTCGAGTACTGGGGAGTCAGCCATCGGCTCAATGATGCCGTAAAGCGAGGCAGTGCAACGCTATCGATCGTGACACAGTGTGCTGAGCACATTGTCTGGTGGAGCTTGTGACTGAACGATTGGCGGCGCTCGGGCCAGCAGCGAGGCTGGAGCGATTTTAGAAACGAGGGCTTGGCTTACGCGTCTATCGCACGAGACGGTGCCCTCGCCTGCAAACTCGACTCGGCGCGAGCCTGGGCGGGGCGGGGGCCAAAGGAAAAACGTGACCTGCTCGCCATCCAACCATCATCCCGTGACTTGGTTGCGAATATTCACGACTCGGACGCCAACCCAACGCTCTACGCGACGCCGCACGCGAGATCGACACTGGCTCCACACCAAAGTCCAACACTTCGTCTCCGCACTTGCCTCGCCGCGCGCCTCCTCCTACACACTCCCACCTCCGCTCGTCTGCGGCTCGCGTGCTCGCCATCAGCACTTCTGGGCTGGACCCACGGCACGCGTCTTTCGCGTCATCACTCCGTGGTGCAGTCGTGTTCGTGTTGACTCGGTTGACAGCAAGCGTAAGAGCTCGAGTCGGATGCCAGTCATCCAGTACGACCAGAGCATGTCGGACGCGACAACATCATCAGCAGCGCCTGCTCAGGAGCACCAGGCCGACGCGGCCACGGCGCACAATGGATCGGGCGAGCATGTCGACGAGACCGCGCAGCGCAGCGAGCCCAGCTCGGCGGCGGTAGCGGCAGCAGCGGCGGCTGCGCTCGATCCAAACGCCGACCCGGCGGAGCGTGACCATATCGAGCGCGACGTGTCCAACATCCTGGCGGGCCTGAATCAGGAGCAGCTGGCGTCGATCGTGGCGGCGGCACGCGCGTCCGAGGCGCGCAACGGCGACGCGGCGGACGGTGCCGCCTTTGGCGACGGCATCGCGTCTGGTCTCGGTCAGGCAGCGAGCGCGCTCACCAGCATCGCGTCCGGCCTGAAACGCAGTGCGGCCAACGACAAGGCAGACGCCAAAGACCTCGGCGACGCACCGCCGCCGCCCGGCGTCGAGTACCCCGACCAGCTTGACGGCAAGGAGCTCGATGCCGACACGTCGGCGGCAATCGCAGCGGTCAAGTCTGCCACCGACTCGGCTACGGCTGCAGCCATCGCGAGCTTAGGCTCGCTCGCCGCAGCCTCGCACCTTCAGCAACCACAAGCTGGCCAAGCACAGCCGCATACAGGCGCGGGCGAGGCGGACGAGTCGATGGACTACGACTCTGCCGGAGGCTCAGCCTCACCCGCTCGCGGCCTCAAGCGACCGCGTGGACCCGAGCTGGATCGCCAGCGCAAAGACAACCACAAGGAGGTCGAGCGTCGTCGCCGCAGCGCGATCAACGACGGCATCATGCAGCTCTCGATGATCGTGCCTGGATGCGAGGAGAAGAACACCAACAAGGGCGCCATCATCCACGCCGCCGCGCGCTACATCCAGGACCTCAAACACAACGAGGCCAGCAACATCGAAAAGTGGACGCTCGAAAAGCTGCTCATGGATCAAGCCATGGGCGACCTCACCGCGCAGCTCGACGACGCACGCGCCCAGATCGACCGCCTCAGAGCAGAACTCGACAACCGATACTCGCATCAAATCCCACCAGACCACCACAAGTCGTGACCCCCGCATCTCATTACCGTCCGGCTGCCCTCGTTTCCTTCCCTCCCTCTCCTTTCGTCGCGGTTTCCCGAATGTATTGTATTCTAGCAAAGTGCGCGGCCTTGAGCCGAGGCGCTCTTCGAAACGCATGTATACCTGTTCTTTTGATTCAAATCGCGGTGGTCTACCATCGGAGGGCGAGGTTCTTGTTGCGCACCATGGGACGGGTGAGTGCGATACCGACCGAGAGGATGGCGATGGTGAGCAGCAGCTGGGGCTTGTTGAACGAGCTCTGGAGGATGTCGAATTGGCCCGAGGGGCTGACGCGCGTGGCGAACGAGTCGAGCCCATACGCGTAGACGGTGGCGGTGCCTTCGAGCAGTGCCGGCCCCGTAGCAATCGCCTGGATGCCTGCAGCGGGGAAGATGTGGTTGATGATCCACTTTGGATCTTCCGGGATCATGGGCGCGTACGGGATGTTGTACTCCTCCGCCTCGGTCTTGCTCGGCTTACCCACCGGTCGGCGCGGATCCAGCAGCCGGCGCGGAATCGACACGATCGACTCCTGATCCGTCGCGACCAGCAGATTCTTGAGCGCGATTCCAAACTTGGTCGTCGTGGTCGCAAGCGCCTGCACGCTGCCGCCGCTGTACAGGAACGACTGCACATACGCCAGCGGAAGCACACTCTTACCCTGCGCACTCGTGTCGCCCGTAAAGCTGCTAAAGTTGCCAGTGAGTCCGCTCCAGGATGCCGCAATCGAACGCTTCTGCTCTGCCGTTGGCGCGTCAGGCTGCTCGTACAGCTCGACCGTAACGATGCGCGTCGCCATACCCTCGTCCGCATTGCGCACGGCGTAGGTGGCCGTCACCCAGTTCTCCACCACATGCGCGCGCACAGGCTGCGCCGCATCGACCTCGTCCAGCTGCAGCTCATACAGCATGCTGCCCGTGACGGTGTCGATGAGGTAGAGGTGCGCCTGGTTGTTCGCGCGTGCCGCCGTGACGACGAGCTGCGCGTGCGGGTTGAGGTACTTGTAAAGCGTCGAGCGGTCGCCGAGCACGCGTCCGAACGACGCAATCGCATCCTTGCTCGGCGCCTGCACCACCTGCACCACCTCTTCGCCCGCAGGTACACTCCACGTCCACACCTGCTTGGACTTGTGCACGCTGCTCACGCCCTGCTCAACCGCATACCCGACAAAATTGACCGACGAACCGGCTGCAGCCGCCGGCTCTTGAACCGCAAAGTAGTAGCGGCCCGACAGCGGCTCGAAGCGCTCCGCTACGGCGAGCGTGTCTGGGTAGAGGTAGAGGTGGTTGTTCTGGTCGACGAGTCCGAGCGACTGCTGCCTCTCGACCGGGTCCTCGACCGCCTGAGGAAGCAGGAACGCGTCGCGGCACTTGCCCACAAACACGTTCTGACCCGACGACGCATCGTTGAGGAACTCGCCTGTGAGCGGGTTGAGCTCGAACACGCGCGTGCTGTGCAGCCCGGGCTGGAGTTCGACCTCTGCGACGATCGCGAGGAGCGGGCTCTTTCCGTCGGTCGAGAGCTCGCGCACGGTCTGCATGAGCTTGATGCTGATGTGCGGCTCGTGCTCGCCCTCGCCGTCGCCGTATCCGATGAGGGACTTTTCCCACACGACCGTGTCCTTGGTGAGGGTGTCGAGCGCATACACCTTACCCTTGGCGGTGGCGACGACGACGAGCTTGCGGAAGCCAAACGGATCGCGGAAGAGGCTGGACGTGGTGTTGGCCGAGGCGACGCGCGGTGCCAGCGACGTGGGCTTCTGCTCCTGGTCGGCCCTCTTGCGTGCGGGCTTGTTGCCCTCCTTGACCATGGTCGTCGTTGCGGCTGCCGCCGAGCTCGCCGAGGCCGACTTGCTCAGACCGAGCTGCTCGAGGCTGCCGTACGATCCGGTGGCGAAGCGCGTGGCAAATGCGACGGTGTACTGCGGCAGGTCCTTGAGCGAGATGACGTGTCGGACGACGCGTCGGACAAAGCCCTCGTTGTCGAGACTGGCGGCGCCGCCGGGGATGTCGGTGAGCTTCTTCTCCGGGAGGTCGACAAAGGTGGCGTGGGTGGTCTGGGTGAGGCCCTCCTCGACGATCCACTGGTGCTGGTCTTCGAGCAACATGCGTACGGAGCCGCTCGAGGTGACGAGCACGGTGCGCGTGGCGAGCTGGTACTGGCCGACCTGGCTCGCCTCGAAGGTGGCGGCGTGTACGTTGCCGTGCAGGTCGTGGTCCCATTGGAAGGAGAATCCGCTGACCTGACCCTCGCCGCCGTTGTTGGCATCGGCCCAGAGGAAGTGGAAGTTGAGCAGATGCTGGGCGCGGGAGAAGAAGATGCGCTGGAGGTAGGCGCGTCCCTGTCGGTCATAGGTGCCGGCGTAGACGGCATCGTGCGCGTCCTCCTCAAACTCCCAGAAGCTGGCGAACTTGGCGTCGGCAGAGACCTTGAGCACCTCGGCGAGGCCGTCGGAGCGACGTGCGACGAAGAGACCCTTGTTGGAAAGGCCCGGGTCGACGAGACCGGTGAAGGTGGACTCTGGGCGTTTGGGGTAGACGACCTGGGGCTGGGCGAAGCGCTTGCTCGGCGGGTCGAGCGGGGCGGCACGGACGGTGCCGTCCTTGTTAAGCCAAGCGACCCAGGAGCCTGGGTTGGCAGTGGGAGGTAGGTTGGGCAGCGTGTTCCAGGCGACGACGACAACGTCGGCGGCGGAGCTGAGGCCCGAAGGGATGTCGTGACTTGCGAGGAGCTGTCCATTGTGTGCGGACAGCGTGGAGACGGAGAGGGAGCTGTACGTGGAGCCGGCGTTGCGCACGAGCGAGACGACGTGGATCTTGTCCTTGTTAGCAATCACGCGAATGAGAGAGCGGCGCGAGATGTCGTCTTCGGGCTGCCACTTCCACACCTCCTGCCCGTAGGCGCCGTCGAGTCTGCGGACTGTCTGGGCGTTGGAGATGACGACGACATCGGGCGGCCTCTCTGCTGTGGCGCCTTCGGTGAGGAAGGCAGCGTCGGCGGCTGGGAAGCCGGGCACGGGCAGCAGACCGTCGGCGATACTGTGCAGCTTGGACTCCCAGATGAGATAGCCGGTGAATGCGTGGTAGATGCGCACATTGGCGCCGCCGTTGCCCGAGACGGTGAGTGCGACCTCGCCGAACTGCTTGTGGAGCAGCACCTGGTCGTGCTTTTCAAGGATCTGGCGCCAGACTATGGCGCCGTTGCGCGGGTTGAGGGCGCCTACGGTGTTGGACTCGGTGGCGACAAAGATGGCAGTCTGAGCCTTGTCCTTGATGTCTGCATCGGGCTTGATGATGCGGTGGAAGCGCGGTGCGAGGTACGGGGTGGCCGAGTCGTTGGAGGCGAGCGGCACGCCGATGCGAGGGATGTGCCAGTCGATGATGCCCGCCTCGGTCTTGGAAAGGGCGGCGACGCTGTGGGCGCTGAGGAGGAGCGCGAGCAGCGTGGCGAGCAGGGCAGCTGGCGCCCAGCTGCCGAAGCCACGCCGCGCGGATGAGGACGTCGGAGTGTGCATCTTGAGGACGGCGGCGAGGTCGAGCAGCCGCGTTTTGCGATGGTGTCCGGTGACGAGCCTGTGATGAGGATGAGCTTGGGCTTGGGCTGGTGTTGGACTGCGCCTCCGCTCGCTGGCTTTGGATCGTGCTTGGAAGCTTCTCGCCCGGCCGTGCGCAGAGTTGGCCTGCCGAACTAACACCTGACGCGCGTGCCTGCCTGCCTGCCTGCCTGCCTCTCTGATCAGTGCGTTGGAAGCAGTCGCTGGAGCGAGGCCGCTGCTCGGAAATCCAACCAACCCACACGCTCAGACTCTAGCGCCTATCGGCGTCGCGCTCGTATCGCTGAGCCAGAGCCAAAATCGGGCGATGCGCGCGGAGCCGAGTAGAGACGCGATTGGCTTTTCCCCAGGACCCTGTACAAATCGGCGCGGCGCGTAGCTCAGTCCCACTCGAGCCGAATCCGCACAGACTGCAAGCAGGCGGCAGGCACACTTGGAGCGCACCGCCAAGGCCGGCATCGCATTTTTCGACGGGCCAATCGCCCATACTGTAGTGCGCTCGGCTGAGTCGGTCATCCGCCGCCTGCCTATTCCATGGCAAGGCGCGCAGCGGTCGGGATTCCCGCTCTTCTGCTGCTGTCCGCATCTCGGAGCGCTGGAAGCTGCGCGCAACCGCCTCGGTCGAGCCTCGCTGTTGCTTCGCCCCGCCCCGCACTGCATCCGCTTTACATTGTTTCATCGCTGTAACTGACCCTCCGTCTGTCCTTCATCTCGTTCCCGCTGCGCCAACCATTTGCGGCTGCACCTTGACACACCACCAGCTGCACACGACAGCAGAACCCCGAGCAGCGTCAAGGTTGTTGTCGTCTCGTCGCATCCCACGCGTGCATATCCTACGCGCTGTCAGCAGCTGCATCCCACCATCGCTGTCCAAGCTGCATCGGCTGCATCGGCTCCCCTCGTGTTTGGTCCGGCAGCGACGCCGCTTACCAGCCCAGCCTTTCGATCGTCGGTACTTCCGCCGCATCTACGCTTGGCCTTCCCACTTCCACAGCGGCGCAAGCATCCCGCTTCGGCCTGGTCCGCATCCACCTGCACCGGTCCGCAACGATTTCATTTTGGCCGGCGCAATCGATCACATCCGCGCTCGCTCGGTCGCGGCACACCCGCAGCTCGAGTCGATCCCGTTCGCGGCTGCTGCTGCTGCTG